TTGAGAAAAGACTTAAAAATGATTTTTGGTATTAGCGGGGAAGGTTAACTTAGAGATACTGACTCCATTTGTAAAGCCGGCTCATATTCACTATGATTGTTCAGCGAATGCCGCATCTTCAGCGTTTCTTTCTCATTGTTATAAGTTATAAAGGATTTTTGGTATTAGCGGAGGAGGTTAACTTAAAGATAATGACTTCGTTTGTCAAGACGGCCTATGATGATATTTAATACGATTGGCGAGCGAATGTCACAATTTCCGATATATTTCTCAGTTATATGTTTTCTTTAGTCTCAATGTATCAGTTGGCCTTGTCAGAACGATGGGAAATGCACTGCACAGTACGAGAAGAACTGTTACGTCTACGTATGATGCACGATCCTCGCAGTAGATAGCGCTATTTAAGCAATAGCGAAAATCAGACCTGAAAAAAATCAGGCCTGTACGGGATTCGAACCACTGACCTCTGCNTCAGTGGTTCGAATCCCGTACAGGCCTGATTTTTTTCAGGTCTGATTTTCGCTATTGCTTAAATAGCGCTATCTACAGCGAGGATCGTGCATCATACGTATCTAATACCGCAGTTCAAAAAATATGAATTTCATATATTTCATTGTATCTGAGTTACGTCTGCATTTACGCGAGAGGATACACTGGGGAACATTGTGAAATGGGTAAGACACAATTAAGTTCACATTTACAAGACTGCTTCAAACTTAGCTGACGGTATAACTCTCTTCGCCAACAGGAGACTGCTCCAAATCTTAGTTGTTTACCGTTATCCTGCTGTTATCTTATATTTTCAAATTCTCCTGTTAATTTACCCAAAGGTTAATTTCATTTTTCCTTCAGATATTGACGAGTGCAGTACTTCCATTCGACCATGTGACGTTAATTCAGACTGCCACAATACTAACGGCTCCTACAGCTGTTCCTTTCAAAGTGGATTTATTGGGAATGGAAAAACATGTACAGGTAAACCTTATTTGTTGCTAGTCTGTTGGTTAGGACAATTATTACGAGCCTATAATTAATCAAACGATAGCTCTCCTATCTTGTAAATGTATTTACAATGTACTGTTAGGTTTATTGTGATATCACGGCAAGTCTAAAGGATGGACCCTAACTGCTCGATTCTCCAAGGGCGATAACAAGAATTGGATGCGTGATGATAGCAAATGTTGGTATAATCAACAAGTTCCTACTGGAACAACTAACAATCCTTCAGTGAACAACGATATGATCTCACCAGCCTTTTGGTCGGTTAGCGGCAGAGAAATAAAAGATCACACGCAGTGGTGACCCCAGCCACACCACAGCTACAGAATACAGGCAACTGTTTGGGTCGACAAACATTCCGGTCGAAAATCTTAAGTTGTTGCAACTTTAGAAACGGAAAGGCAGCTAGGGCCAGTGTCCGGAGGAAGTTGTACGCTTCAATATGGAGGACAGTACAAGTCAACAGACGGCTTTCAACAGAATGAGTGCAAAGGAGACACCCAAAGTGTCAAGAAGATCGGCTTCTGGTCCGACTGGAGTAATGGTGATGGATCAGTAATGACGGTTGGTGAAAGACGAAAGAGCTTTGCACGCGCAGATTATGGTATTGTAATCACAGAAAAAGACGATGCCTCTTTTGTTAAACACAGAACCAGTCAGACTGAATATGACTTTGATTATTATGGTCTAACAGGACGCGCTCCATCCCAGTCCTACTCGTTGAACTTATGGATCCGCTAAAATAATAATAATAATAATAATAATAATAATAATAATAAAGTATTTCTATAGCGCTAGTTTCCTCAAAGTTCACAAGCGCCTAACAAGAGTGATTAGAAAAACGCTTTTTTAAAAAGAAAGTTTTAAGTTTGTTTTTAAAAACGGACTCTGAGGAGCTGTTCATGATATCGGACGGCAAAGTGTTCCAGAGTGTGGGGGCAGCTACAGAAAAAGATCTTTCACCGTATGTCTTGAAATTAAAATGAGGAATCACAAGGAGATTTTTAGATGATGAACGCGGTTGACGAGCTGGAACGTAAGGTGTGAGTAGATCACGAATGTACGATGGTACAAGATTGTTAAGAGCTTTGTACGTGATGAGTAGAATTTTAAACACAATGCGATAATGTATCGGAAGCCAGTGGATATTTATTATAATAGGCGTAATGTGTTCATGTTTTCTTGAAAGAAAGATGAGACGAGCAGCGGCGTTCTGGACGTACTATAACTTTTTTACCTGGTACTTCGGTAGTCCATAGAGTAATGAATTACAATAATCCAATTTTGAAGATACAAATGCATGAACAAGTATTTCAGTGGTGGTTGATGACAAGTACTTTCTTATATAGCTGATATTACGGAGATGGTAAAAAGATGATTTGCAGATACTTGCAACATGATCGTTAAAAAGAAAATGAATGTCAAAGGTAACACCAATATTTTTAGCTTTCTCTGAGGGGCGGATGGTCTCAATGACGACAGAGATTGACCAGATGTTCATTTTTCAAACTTAGTTTAGAAAAGCAGATTTTTTGAAAGGAGGATATTACTCATTTATTTTCGCATTCTGATCCAAGTTAGATGAACATGATCTTCTCATCTTAGATCTCCAATGGTAACAAACTGTCAATTTTCTTAGCGTTTCAGTTAAAAACAAAACAAAACAAAAACAAACAAACAAACAAGAAAATTTGCCATTGAATTTCAATTTTCGACAAATTCATTGACAGGTGAGTTAATTTAAATCAGACTCACAACTCACCTTTTCAAGAAAAACGTGAAGTATTCATCAATGATTGGTCAGTGATGTCAAAGACAAAGTAACAGAATATATTTTTAATATATTCATTCTTTATTTGATCGAGAACATGCTGAAGCTATATCGAGCATTTGTTCATTTTATTGGCATAAATAAATGAATAATTACAAGAATAAATAGATCTTATGATAAATTAATAAAGAGCAAAAGCAGTTTACTTTGACATGAAGGGGAACTCAATATGACAAATGGAGACTGTTTCTCTTTTCATCGACACAATTCAAGTATAGTAACGATTTATGGTGATAACCTGTTATCAATTTTTAGCTCCAATAGCTCGTCTCAAGTCTTGCCCTAAAATCGAGAGTCTGGGACAAGGTTACAAATTAACGAATCCCAAGTTGACCAAGTTGAATGTCGTGAAAAGTCCAAGCCATAAGCAGACTCTAATTTCTTGAATAGTCAGTATGGTCAGAGAAATTAACGAGACTGTAAGTTATTTTCTCTTAGTGTGGTTAACCCTTTACCAGTAGGCAAATACACCTTATAATTTGGCCATACAAAACTTAAACACGAAGGCGCGCTATAGGTCGGTTTCAGTCACGTGACCTTTATTTTTTATGCGCCGCCATGTTTGTGCACCTCGCAGAACGTAAACAATTCGAAGTGAAATGGTTCTATGCTTGATTTTTGGCTGCGGAACGAAAAGTGGAAGAGATGAAGGTGCTCAGTTTTCAAAATTTCCTGAATTAATAACTAACGAAGGGGAAGAAGCAAGAAAATTGTCAGAATTGAGAAGAGAACGATGAATTTTGGCGATAAGTAAAGACGACTTGACAGAATCACATAAAAAAACATGGTCGCGTCTGCGGGAAACATTTTGTTTCCGGTAAAGCAGCGAAAAGGTGGGATAAGTTCAATGTAGACTGGGTGCCATCGTTATGCTTAGGACAAGGCAAAAAAGTCTCTGGAAAAAAGCTAGAGGAAAAGTTACAGTCCTCTGCAAAGCGAGACGAAAGACGACGACTTCGAGAGAAACTAAGAGTCGAAGCTCAAGACAAACTACGGGAGCAACTCCGGCAAGAAGTGGCAGCTAA